TTGGCGGCGCTGCGGGAAGACGGGTCATTAGGCAAAGGAGTGCCCAAATCACAAGCAGGAGAAGAAGGCTGAGGCTCATTTAGCGCAGACTGATGAGGATGATGAGGCCACTCTCCTGATGACGACGTCGCACGCAGGTGAGCCGTGTGATAGCTGCCTAGCTAGAAAGTAGAGGAGGCTATCGTTCCCAAAGGTGGCCAAGTATCGCGCAACGGACGCTCTCGAGCTCTTCCATGCCCATCTCTGCGGGCCAATCACGCCAGCCACAAATGGTGGTCGGCGGTACTTCCTCCTGCTCGTGGATAATTGCAGTCGCTATATGTGGCTGCAACTCCTGATGAGCAAGGACGAGGCGGCGGAGGCGATCAAGAAGTTCAAGGCACGCACGGAGGCAAAGAGCGACATGAAGCTGCGCGTGCTGTGGACTGATCGTGGTAGAGAATTCACTTCGGTGGAGTTCGCTACATACTGCACGGATCAGGGTGTGGTGCGACACCACACCACACCGTACTCGCCATAGCAGAATGGCATGGTGGAGCGGTGGAACCAGATGGTGGTCAGCGTGGCTTGATCCATGATGAAGGCCAAGAGCTTGCCGGCAAGGTTCTGGGGTGAGGCGGTGACCACGGCGGTGTTCATTCTCAACTGTGCACCCACAAAGGCCCTAAAGGGTGTGACGCCGTTCGAAGCTTGGTTTGGGCGCAAGTCATGCATGTCCAACCTCTAGACATTCGGCTGCATCGGCCATGTTAGGAAGACTAAGCCGGTCCTTACCAAGCTGGAGAACAAGAGCACACCGATGGTGCTCCTAGGCTACGAGGGAGGTACCAAGGTGTACTGGCTTGATGACCCACGCGAGGCAAGGTGATTGTCTCACGCGATGTCGTTCAACGAGAAGGTGGCCAGGACTAGGACAGTCTGGGCATGGGGGAAGCTGGAGGCTTCACCAGCACCTTCGTTGTCAAGCACTTGGTCATCCACGGTGGTGGAGATGCTAGAGAGGAGGTGCCGACCACTCTAGCAACAGAGGCAAGCACTCCTAGGGTGGTGCCAAGCACTCTAGGAGGGGTGCCGAGCACTCTGGGAGGGATGCCGAGCACTCTAGAAGTGGTGCCGAGCGGTCCTGCAGTGGTGACGGCCACTCCAGGACAGGTGGCGAACGCTCCTGTAGCGGAGCCAAGAGGTCTTGCAGTGTTGCCGACCACTCCAAGACTAGTGTCGAGCACTCCTGTAGTGGTGCCAATCACTCCAAGAGTGGTGATGAGCGGTCTAGGAGTAGTGCCAAGCACTACAGCCAGGTGTTGTGCCGACCACTTCGACGGAATAGGGGACTCAATCGACACCGATCGAGTTCGCCTCACCTCCAAACGACATCATAGAGTTCGTGGATGCTTTCCACGACGGTGAGGAGGTGCGGTTCTGTAGGCTAGACGACATCATTAGCGGCACAGGGTCCTCAGGCTAGGCGGGTCGACTGCTCAATGACCCAGAGCTGCTTCTCGTCAGTGTAGAGGAACCACCCACGTTCGCATTGGCCAAGCGCGATGCAAATTGGCAACGAGCGATGCTGGAGGAGATGAAGGCGATTGAGGAAAATGAGACTTGGGTGCTCGTTGATCCACCTCCAGGATGTCGTTCGATCGGCCTGAAGTGGGTGTACAAGGTCAAGCAGTTCGAGTGTGGCGCCATTGTCAAGCACAAGGCGTGCCTCGTCGCCCGAGGCTTTGTCTAGCGCGAGGGCATCGACTTTGAGAAAGTCTTTGCGCTAGTAGCGTGCATCAAGTCTATCTGACTGCTGCTGGCTTTGGCAGCAGCGAAGGACTGGCACGTCCATCACCTAGACATAAAATCAGCCTTCCTCAATGGTGAGTTGGTAGAGACAGTCTTCGTCAGGCAACCTTCAAGTTTCGCCATCAAGGGAGCAGAACACAGGGTGCTCTGACTGCGCAAGGCACTCTACGGGCTGCGGCAGGCCCCGTGAGTGTGGAACGCCAAGCTTGACGCTACATTGGGTGAGCTTGGGTTCACGCGGTGCGCAACCGAGCACACGCTCTACACGCGGCGATTGGGGAAGGAGGAGCTCATTGTCGGCATATATGTGGACGACTTGATCGTCATCGGCGCGCGTGCGGAGGACATCGACAGCTTTAAGCGCAAGATGGCGGCTCATTTTTGAATGAGCGATTCGGCGCACTCTCCTACTACCTCGACATCGAGGTGAGATAGGGGAAGGAGGCGCTCACGCTCGGTCAGAGCGCGTACGCCTCAAAGCTGTTGGAGCGGAGCGGCATGGCTGAGTGCAAGTCGTAGCGTGACTTTGATGGAAGAGCGGCTGAAGCCGACGAAGGCCGGTACCATGGCGAAGGTAGATGCAACACTCTACCGGAGCATCGTCAGCGGTCTACGCTACCTAGTCCATATGAGGTCGGATATTGCGTTTGTCGTGGGGTACGTCAGCCGCTTCATGGAGGATCCCCGAGAGGATCACTGGGCCGCGGTGAAGTGGCTGTTGCGCTACGTCAAGGGGACGGTGGATCAAGGGATCGTCTTCCCCAAGATCGATGGAAGTGGGCTGCAGTTCACTGTGTTCAGCGATGCAGACATGGCAGGGGACATCGACGGACAGCGGAGCACCTCTGGCATGCTCATCTTCCTCGGGTCGGCTCCAATCTCATGGTTGTCGCTGAAATAAAAGGTGGTGGCGCTATCCACGTACGAGGCAGAGTACGTGGCGGTAGCCACAGCGGCGTGCCAAGCTATGTGGCTGCCCCGGCTGCTGGGCGAGCTGACCGGTGTGGAAGCTCACCCACCAGCACTGATGGTGGACAACCAGCCCGCCATCGCCCTCGTGAAGAATCCAATTCTCCATGACCGGAGTAAGCACATCGACATTAAGTTCCACTTTCTCAGGGGACTGTGTCGATGGAGGGCATATCGTTATTGAGTTCGTCGAAACTGGTCGGCAACTCGCAGATGTCCTCACCAAGCCGCTCGGCCGTCTTCGGTTCACGAAGCTGAAGAAGATGATAGACATGGTGGAGGTTCTAGGGTTAGCGGCAGGATTATGAAAAGAATTATAAAGTAATCTGCTGCTCTCTCATGTGTGAACGTGCGACAGGGGCAGGCGCTGAAAGGGTTTCCTGCTACTGCACTATAGCCGCGGCAGGGGCAGGCACCGAAAGGCTCCCCTGCCACACTGTAGCCACAGCAGGGGTAGACGTTAAAGTCAGCCCTACTGTCATATCTAGTCACTGTAGCAGCATGACAGTCTGGCATGTCTGTGTACTAAGATTAGATGGGTATACTTGTATATATAGCTTCCCACTACAACTCAGTAAAGAGAGCGAGTTCAGTTTTGACATCTCCTCTGCGGAACTCCGGCCAACGCTGGTGCTTGTGCTGTGTGTGCGCTCTCTGTTCTTCCTTCCTTCTTTTACCTCTAGCCATAGTATACGGTCGGCAACGCCGGTGAACGATCGGCTCACCGTGTGGAAGATCTAGGGCCAACAATATAGCCAGCTACTTGCTCCGGCTTCTCGCTGAGTTCTTCTTTCTATGAGAGAACCTGTATGTATCTAGCAGCCACAATGGCAACGGCGAGCTAGTGCCTAGTACCTGTGCACATCAGAGCACATGTGATGGAATGGGGTCCCTGCATTGTTCAGGTGATGTCCAGGTCCAGTCATCCAAGCTCTGGAGCCCGGTCGGGGTCGACTGCGGGTCGCCTGCCTGCGGGGCACCTGGCGCCTGCCGCCGGCTTTTTCAGGCCCCGTTTGGCTAGGTTACCCGTGCTCCGGCTCCTATACTGTAGTGACACCGTAGCCGAAGTCACGGGAGCTAGGAAAACGAGCTTCTCCGGCTCCGGTGGTGTTAGGGAGAGAAAGGAGAAGAGAGAAAAACAGATTCGACAGCAGGAGCCTCAGCCCGGCCAAACGGGGCCTCAAAGTGGCGTTTCTTTGCAAAAGTGCGCCATGGTGGCATGGTTCTCGCAAGCGTCAGGCCAAGAACGGCGGCGCTTGGCCACCCTCTTCCTCTTCCGCCGCCGCCGGCGGCAGCCGGCAGGCATCCACCCATGCGCCAATCCTCATGGAGTTCGTGCTTGCTTTCCAGTGCTTCGATCGCCGAGCACGGGTGGTTCAAATGCCCTCCTATTTGCATTTGCGTGGTGCAGACTTGACGTAGAGTAGCTTAGCGAGTGCGTCACCAACTCACATGATCACGTACTTTAGTGCTTAAACGCATTACTGTAATTAGCGAGCGCGTCACCTGGAAGAAGGCCAACCCGAAAGCAGCACTCGTAGTCGAGTACATCTAGTCACAACAGAAGGGTGGCCTTTATTTAGGCGATCTCACTACGTCGTCAGAGTGAGGTCACTGCCACGTGCTTCATATATTTGGATGTCGTTGGTTGGCAGTAGGCCTGTGGCAAAAGAAATATGGGACAGGCCGAGACCGAGCACAAGCCCGGCACAATTTCGGCCTGCCTGCCTGGCCTAGTAACTTCGACAGGCCGGATCCTAACCGTAGCAGGCTGGGCATCAGCAGAGGTTTTCATGCTGAAAGAAACCATGCGTTTGGCAATGCTGGGAAGACATCCAAATAGCAACTGCGCGTCTGCACGTTCCTGTTATCCAGTCCAATCCACACTTCAGTCACATAAGTTCCCATCGTTCTCAGTAGCCTTTCGATTGGAGAGCCGTGACACCTGACAGGAAGCTAACCTAACAACCTAGCTGCAGTTGCTTCGGCCATTAAATTGACCAAACACAAGACATCACAGATCAACCAGCTGCAAGTCGTTTACTTGAGCAATCATCGAAATTTAAGCGACGAGAAACACAATAGTCCAACTCCAGATTACAACCAAGTCACCAGAGCATGAAAAACCATATTATACGGCAGCAGTACCAATCAGCCACATAGCATCCGGCACCACGAGAGAACAATGGGTATGACGAATCTGTAAATGTTTTATGATATCTGAGAAGGGTATATGCAGATCAAGCAGAGCCCTTGAGCTTCTTGGCGATGCCTGCAAAGTACTTCCCCTGGTGGAAGGCGTGCTCCAGCTCCACCTCACTCGGCCACCTCGAGCCGTCGGCAGCGAACGTGCCGGCGCCGTAGGGGCTGCCACCCTGAACCTGGTCCATGCCGAACAGCTTGGCACCGAAGGTGTAGCCCACAGGCACAAACACCATGCCGTGGTGTGTCAACTGGGTAATCGCTGTCAACCTGAATGAAAAGAGTAACAAACAAAATGTTGGTCTCATGATCTTTGGACATCAGGCCTGGTGCTCGTGTAATTGTAACCATGTGTGGAATGGCACTTACGGTGTAGTCTCTTGGCCACCACCCTGGGTTCCAGTGCTGAAGAAGATGCCAGCAGGCTTGCCAGCAAGGCTCTGCTCCCTCCAGAGTCCACCAGTAGCATCGAAGAACGCCTTCATTTGCGCTGCCATCATTCCAAACCTTGTCGGAAACCCGAAGAGGATTCCATCAGCTTCTGTAAGTTCTTGCGGTGTGATGACTGGCACATCAGGCTTAGGGGGTGCGCCCATCTTTCCAAGCACTTCCTCAGGGAGAGTTTCAGGGACCTGAAGATGCAATAATTTAGAAGTGGTATCAGTAATTCATGTCCAGATTTGCATTCATGAACTGTTAGAGCATTCCAGACAACTTATGTACGAGTCTCGGGGCACTTAAGCCAGACGAGTGTGGAAATACCTATTCATGATCAGGGCTTACCTGCCATATTTTAGCCTCAACACCTTCAACAGATGAGGCACCTTTCTTGATCTCTTCAGCTAGTTTGCCAACATGTCCATACGTGGAGTAGTACCTGTTGGAAAACTGATAAATTGTTTAACAAGTTCTGCTCCAAGTATTCAAGTAGCAAAATGGATTAACCTTTTCTTCTGAGTTCCAACTTACAATTGTCGCAAAAAGAAAAAGAAAAAGAAAAAGAAAAGAGAGTTCCAACGTATAATTATTAATATTGCTCTCAATTTTACCATCACAATCCATATGTAACTAAATTATGTTTCATACTTTACAGAAAATGTGTTTTGAGCTGAAGAACCAATCCATCAATAAATTGGTAGGGCAGTGTCCATGCCCTGGTTTCCTTTTGAACACATCCTATATTCTGATACTCATACTTCATACAGACACATCATTCAACTACTCCATAAAGTGCTTTGTTTTGTTGCCTTAGTTTTAAAGTGATGAAAGAATCAATCCTAGAAAGAAGATATGTACAGACAAACCAAATTCAAGAATACATTATTTTGTGAGGATTAGTGACATGAAAGGAAATAAACTGAGTATATCTTCTTAGCTACGATATCACTTTCAGCTTTATTTTCTTCTAGAAAAGATGGTCTGCATACAGCGGGCCAACAAAAAAGTATATCACAAGCAAGAAGCTTGGGGAAGCCCCACATCTAGAAGAAATTTATACATATGTTGCTAAACTTATCTATAGGTGCAGCAGTGCATATAATTTATACATTCAAGTAATTCAGGTCTTCAGAATTGATGAACTTTCATTCTGGTGGTTAAAAAGCCTGATGATGAAGACTATCAAATCATAAATGTTCCTCAAAAACTCTTATTACAATAGACAATTTTACAACTGCTACTTACCTGATTAACTATTTAATTAACAACTGAACTGGACAAAAAGAGACATGATATAGGCAAAGAGAATATGTCTTGCTAGCGCAAATAAAGTCTGCAGTTAAAAGTGTGCTCCATTAATAAAATACTTAGGGCTCAAGTCAACACTTAACTTGATGCGCACAAATGTTAAATATGTTTTTACTATTTCATGCTAAAGTTCACTGTACAGCTACAGCAGGAATTGATCAACAACTCTGTCTAAAGGAAATATAACAAAAGCCATGATGGCCTTTTCATTTTGCCTTAGATATTATGGACCAATTGTTTTTTTTTTTCGAGAACGTGTCCGTTGACACGTGTTTCATTAAGAGGGTATGGACCAATTGTTTTTTATCCTCATAAAGAATTGCTTAGACAGCTAGAGATATGGAGAAAAGAAATAAAGATCCAAAGTGTTGGCGAGGCACTGGGAAGCAGCAGGACTTGCACATATGAATGTGCCATTTAACGGTAAAAAAGTGATTTTTTTGGTAGGGAACCCACATCACAAAAAGGGGGCATCCACCATGTCAAAAGAAAAGGGCGCATCCGCATAAATCACATATTTCCAAAAAGAAAAGCAGAGTCATTCCATTTGATTTGTCACAAAAGGTAGCAAAGATATGCAATGGAGGTAACATGCAAAATGCTCACAACATTTTTGTGCATATAGAACACAGAAACTCTTTTTTTTTAGAGCAATGACAGGTGCTCTGCCTTTTCATTAAAGTAGAGAAGGAATACGTGCACAATCTTCAGGCTGATATAAACTCTCATCTTAAGGTAAGGCTAGAATTCTCATGTTGGTGTCAGAAAAGGGGAACAGAGCGTTATATATTTTGGCTGCCACTGTGCAGGGTTTCATCTACAATGTCTACGTTTCTAAAGAACACAATAGTATTGTTGGGGGAAAAAAGAACACAATAGTACAAATGGGTCACTTTCAGATCAATATGATACAGGCAGGTGGATGTGATAAGTGCTTAGAGTAGTCGATTTAGTATCATAAACATAACTAGCAACGCATCGATGTCAATCTTTTGAAAACAAAATAGAGAATTGACAGCTAGGCATCTTTGATAGAATACGACGAAGAGCAGAATTGGTCTGAAAGCAAGAACCTTCTTTTCAATAATCCTAGCCACAGTTATGGACTTGACGGGCTAAAATAATAGTGGCACTAATTTCCTTTCCCGGCCAATCAGCAAGATTGACAAAATTGGACCTCCGGTGCATAGGTGTGCAGAGAAAAGCTAAGAAAGGATGGGCACGATTAGCGCAGGAGCCCACCACTATTTGGCCCCATTAATAAGGAGGCATCAATTCCGTCAAGGACACAAACCTACCGTCATGATTGAGACCCTGTGTCCTGCGGATAAAAATAAACACCGGAGCACTAGAAGTCCCAGCATATTCCTCCCATTTCTTTACCAATACTAGCAGAATCATCAGTGTACAGAGTGGAAAAATCGACCTCGTTTATCGATTTTATCGCGAACAAAGGAATTAAGAATCAGAATTGGAGGCATCCTACATCTGAATTCCTAAAATCGACGATTCATCTCGAGAATTCTTCCCGTAAAGACTATAATTCGAACTCTGATGCGATTCGATCACAATCTAAACCCTAACAATCAAGAATAACACCATGAACGACACTGGACAAGTATTAAGGCACGGATATACAATCGGAAACAAGAAATTAGAACCTGAAATCAGGATGTTCTTGCCTATCTATAAAAAAAGAAGAGGAATTTTAGGGAGCGGGCGACGGAGACCACGGGAATAACCATCAATTCCAAGAAAGGAGTGGTGGCGATGCTTACACGACGTAGACCTTGACCGCCATTGGAGAGGGTTCGGAGCTCCTGTGGCCGGAGGGAGATCTGGGAACTCCTGCGGCGGGCTGGGGCAGAGCAGGGGTGGTTGTGCGGAATGGATCGGCGCTCCTGCCTTGGTGGTGGTGTCAGTTTACGGCCAGTGGAGAGAGTATTTATAGGCAGGGATGCTGCTCTGGTTTGACCTCCAATTGGCAGTCAAGCCTCTGCTTCCTTTTCTCTATTTTTTTTAATTTGGCTGTTTTCCCCTCCGTTTACCCTTTTTCTCTTCGATTCGACGCCAGGTTCATCCAAATGCTTCGCTTTGGCAGATTACCCAGCCGGTTTCCATGTGGAATGCGACGGTCATTTCCTACCCTTTTTCTCCTACGAGGCTACGATGAATAGGCTGGTCCGACGCTTGGACTCCAAATGCCGAACGTAGTAGACCAAGGGCCTGTTCAGTTCATCTCCAAAACGCCAATTTTTTAAGATTTCCTCGTCACATCGAATTTTTAGACGTATGTATAAAGCATTAAATATAAATAAAAAATAAAACTAATTACACAGTTTAGACGAAATCTACGAGACGAATCTTTTAAACCTAATTAAACTATGATTTGACACTAATTGTCAAATAACAACAAAAACGCTACAGTAGCGTTTTGCCAAAAAAATTATCAACTAAACTGGGCCCAAATTTCATGTCAGTGGGGTCGAATTCAGACTGTCGGCACGTCTTCTACGAGATTCTATACGCATTTTGTTCATACACGTATTACGTATTATGTATACAGCATTACTTGTGTGGACTGAAAAGTGCTACCATTCACATGGAAATAAAAAAAACAGAAATTAAGGAGTAGACATATTTATTTTCTCTTTTTTTGAAGTTTTAGGGAAAACGATTTCCCACTTCGTAAGCATTGCGACAGGATCCTCAGGGTTCGAAAATGGTTACAGCTCAATTTTGACGCACAAGCCTCGCTCTTCATACTTAACAGACAAGGAGGACTTTAGTTTATTCCACTCCTTTAGTTCTAAATTATAAGATATTTTGGTTTAGAATCATATCTTTTGTTATGTACTTAGATATATACATTATATCCAGATACATAGAAAAACTCCCTTCATTCTAAATTATAAGATGTTTTAACTTTTTTAAAAACATATCTTTTGCTATGTACTTAGATCTACATTATATATAGATACATAGTAAAAGCAATATATTGAAAAGACCAAAGCAATGTTTCTAGTTACAGAGAACAAGCACCAACCTACTATATTTCAAATGCCGTTTGTTTGGTAGCTCTTATGTCACAACTGATGTTGCAATTTTTTTTTAGTTGTATTTGGTTTCTTTTCTTTTCTTCGACTAATAAAAAATAGTGACAAATCTCTTGCGATCCTTTTGAAAAACTATATTTCATATGCCTAAATTTAACATTTTTCATATGATGGGTTAAAACATCAAACATCAATGTTTGGAACATTGAAGAACAAAATGTACGCATTAACATGGGAGCTGCAATATTATGTTTCATGCTATGCCCATCTATTACATCAAACAATAATGTCCTCAAGATCATGTGAGTTATATGTGTTTGTTAAGGCACTGTTTGGTTTCGCCTATAATCACCGTGCCACGGTGATTTTTTTCAATTCTAGATTACGCTAGTCTAAAGTTCTGAAAATTAGAAATGATCAAAAAGTTTGGTGAGGTTCTCATTTTTTCCACCAAGAATCCGATTATATAAGAAAAATAGCCCTGAAACGAACCAAAATTTTTGGACACCCAGAATATAGGAGTGCCCGCAATGTATTTTCCCCAAGAAATAAAATAAAGGCTGAGTTCGGTAAGGACAAAATTCAAGAGCACAAATCTTTATTAGTTAGACATTATACAAGGCTGAAATATAATTACCACAATTTAATTACTACTCTTTTTTGGAAATTTAATAACAAACAATAAATAAATAGTAAAAAGGATGGAAGAACATGCACATGGATGAACCGCTGGAGCAAGCATCTCCAAGAGTACCCAATAATCCTTTCCGATCCATGATTTTTGGAAAGAATGAAAATAAATATTCATCTCCAACAACTCCCAAACTCACCTCCCAATCCTTTAGCACTTGGGGAAAAAACCTGCTTGCGTGTAAAGATGCGAGGTCGCACGTATCTTCTCCGCAACGATCCAAACGCCCGTATACTATGGTCAATCTAAAGGTCGAAGGGCGGAAAAAAATAAAGAGTAGAAAAATAGTTCCAGATGCAAATGTGCGAGAGAAAAAATATATATAAAAGTGGTTAGGATAATTTAGATATAGTATAAGATTCCTGATGTAAAATTGTCTTCTATATTTTAGGAGTGAAAACTCTTGGAGATAATCGTATTTATTTCTCTTAATAATTTTTGGCGAGTTAAAAAAACTCCATGGTTTTGAAAAGAAATTCGTAGGAACTCAGATGCTCACCTACCCCGTCGCCAACCCTATTATCTAAAGCGCCAAAAAAGACAGTGAATTTTTTCAAGTCAAAAGAGATTTGGCACAGTGGATGTTATTAGCCGGTTGCCATTTCGCTGGACCTGTCTTGTATGGGCCAGCGTACGCAAAATTGTAAAGCCCCCCTGTTTCAAGCGCATATGTGCCGGCCGCATGCGTATGGGACAGCAATGCATGACGACTTTGGTAGTTTGGCTGTACTGTACTCTACCGCCGCAACTGTCTTGTTGTCATTTAATACTTATCACATGTCTGCAGCCCCTGGGGAGTCCATGGCCGAGATCGTCTCCCCGGTCATCGTCTCCCACCGTTTCCCGGATTTCACGTGGTACGGTCTAATCGTAAGGATCGCGTGAATTGCTTGGTAGACCGGGAAGAGTATTTGGATCGCACGTGGATATTATGCAGTCTAGCTGATGAAAACAAGAGGTTCGTGGTTCTGAGCATGAGATTAATAATTTTTCAAAAATGAGCCTGAGATTTTTGCCGCATGCTTACGCCTACTTGGTTCGTGCATACGAATACGAGTAAAATTTAATCTCCTGCATTATTCCACACGGGCAAAATTGGCAACCAGCTAATAACATCACTGTAGTGCTACCCAGTTGAGATCCATTGAGGAAATGATGCAGTCCAACGTACTCAATGGATACAGTTTTGCTACTTGCTTTGTTTGTTCTTAAAGAGACGATTGAGTCGGAGTACTTACGAATCAAAATAAAGATGAAAGAAAATTCATAACAACACGCACGCGGAAACAAGACCGAAGATGCTTTGTTTGTCCTGGACTTCAGTCTATAACTGCCTGTATCTGGCTTGGTTTATCAGCCATCCAATAATGTTTTTCTCTCATACCAAACCAGTCCGTAGCACTTTCAGTTCATGACTTATAAGTCAATCCAGTCGAAACGAACAGGCTTTGATTGATTGATGCTCCAAGTTGAGTTGGTACCCGTAGGTGGTTGGAGAACTGAGAGCTCGGGGTCAAAGACAACCCATTGGTAAGGAGGATCCATGGATCCCAGATCCCACCCACACCAGCCAGAACAAGAGCACTAGCTGTGTCAGCAACGCCGATTCGCTGAAGCTGGTGAAACTGCGATGGATCCTGACAACCCCGGACGCTTCTTGCCCCCGACCCCGAGGCTTCCAGCAGCTTTGAGGGCGCGGCGGCGTCGCCGAAGAAGAATTTGGAGACAGCAGGATGGATGACGTACACGTACGGGGAGCCGGGGAGGTCAGGATTATATTTTATTTATTTATTTATTTATCCTCCTGGTCCTGGCCGGATGATCCGCATCGACGATGGCATGCCGTAATACAAAGCGTGGAAGAGGGAAGTAATGCCGTCTTTAGTTGGCGAAATGAAAATTTTTGGATGTTATATTAGACGTTTCGGGGATGTCGAGAGAAGTTTTCGGATACTAATAAAAAAACTAATTACATAGCTCACCTGAAAGCTGCGAGACGAATTTATTAAGCCTAATTAATTCATCATTAGCGCATGCTAGTACTGTAGCACTTATGTTAATCATGGACTAATTAGTCTTAAAACATTCGTCTCGCGATTTCCAACCAAACTGTGTAATTAGTTTTTTTCGTCTATATTTAATACTCCATGCATGTGCCGCAAGATTCGATATGACAGTTTGGGGTGAAAATTTTTAGAACTAAACCAGGCCTAAATAAATCGATGTGTACGTACTGAACACGATTTCATTCCCTTTAATTATACTCCTAATATGCAGGTAGACAGAGGCAGGCCAATGCATTGCATGAGATGCTGCGGGGTTGAGGAGCAGGCGCAGGCAACGACGGCGCATTTGGTAGTTGCTAGTTTGCTAACGGCACCGTCGTCGGCAGCTTCGTCATGCCCAGTTACAGTCGCCCACGGAAACAGGCTTTCGCAGATGAGGTAAGCACAGCGGCAGCGTGACGACGGACCGAGCGGCCACCCACCGGCTCCGCGCATCGGACGGAGCCGCAGCCAGGAGCATCCATCGCTCGCGGCGGCATCATGACCTGCGTACAGTGACGCCGGAAAGAGAGAGATCTCGGGCTTTGGCGGCCCAACCCGCCAACCGCCCGGGCCCGGCCGTCGTAAACGCCACCAACCAAGGAGAACCAGGGCATCAGATCCGTCGAGTGCCACTGTGCTGTGTGCCACACTGCCACTGCACGCACGCAACAGTGCATGCAACATAGCCGCCTCGTCTCCATGCGGCATGCCCAAAGCGCGCACCGCCCGCGAAAACGCCACGCGAGCTACCCGTCCGCAACTCCTGATGTGTTCGGCTGCTATCTCCTCTCCTTTATTACCCGTGTGGCAGGCAGTGTGTCCTCGAGAGGGCCTGGCTGGCACGTGGCCAGCCGGCCGGCATCACATCGCCTGCACTATAAATGATCGAGTGATTGATCGATCGGGCCACGACCACTTGATGGAATCGGATCATGGATGGTCACCTCGTCGGCGACCCGAGGTTCTGGAAAATTAAGCACAACCCCCATGACGTCCGGTGACGAGG